TCTTGTGTGGTGGAATTAGGTGTGAAGGGAGCAAAATCCCGTGCGGGGGAATCGGGCGTCCAAAATTGCTCACGGCTTCGACTGTTGAGGGATCGGGCATGACTCTTAGGGGCGTGAGGCCTTTAGGTTTAGTAAATAAATAAATAACTAATAATATAAAATTTATTATTATATTATTTAGAAATTAAAATATATAAATATTTCAAAATTATTTAACCTAAAATTTAAATTGCGTTCGCTATGCGCCATTGCGCACACATGACGCACTTAGCGCGCGCCAACTTCAACTTAAACATAGCGCCATGCAGTTGGAGCCATAGGTGTGTCGCGCCACACCGTGCGCTATGGCGCGCGCCATTCTACGCCATTGATAAAGTAGGCATCAATCATACCTTGTTAGGAGTTAATGTACCTCATATTCACTTAAAGCAACTCAAAATTTGCTGACTAATCAAGAATAATAGTTTTAACAAATCGTTAGGTAGATAAAATTGATTTGTTTAGAGCAACATTATACAAATGCTCAATTTATAAAAGTACTTAATTGTGAAATAAAATGACATTCACATTGAATTTACAACATGGTAGATTTAATTAAGATTAAATAAACATACCTACCTGTGGGCTCCGAAAATTCGGCCTCGGCCTCCACTCGCTTTTTCTTATTCGGCGAGGGGAGTTTTAACGGATAAGTTCCGAGGTAAATTTTGGAAGGCAGATGGGTTTGTAGATAAGACACTACCCAGAGATTTCGCCCTCATTTTGTGAGGACTTTATGATCTGAGTTCTGGTTTCCTATAGGCGCAAGCCCCTATAGTTAATTACCCCTCCCGATCACGAGAGAGAACTTTCGATTAAGGCTAGTCGTCAATCAGATACGTTGTATCCATAGATACGTAGTACCAGGCATGTAGTAGCAGCAATGGGTTTAGGTTGGAATTTGAAGAGTTTGGGAAGGATTTGATATTTAAAGTAGAAATTTCACCATCCTACACTTAAAGCGGATGGTGGGGGAATAGATGATGGGCCCGATCAAGATCACATGGTTCCGTCGTCCCGGGCCATCATGGTCCCTGGTCTACTTAGTCAGAGGAGGTAGTCGACCCAACCTGACAGAAGGATCCTTGTCGGCAGCCATGGGTTGCTTCGTCCAAGGGGACCTTGTAGACCGGGGGTGAATGTTTGTCTAAGGGGACAAATTTAAATCCACCTTAGCTAACAGAGGGCTTTGCCCTATCGATCATATCCTATTGATTCATATCTCAAGGATTTAATGCCATTAAGGAGCGTATTGGCTCTGGCCATAACCGCTATCTGTGGTGCCATTTGGCGGCAAAACCACTAGGTTCAGAGGGCCCCGGGTCATAACCGTTTACCTGCAGTTCCATTTGGCGGCGAAACTGCCGGTTAGAGGACACGTACCACGTCCTTACTGGCAAGAGATTGTTTGAGAATGGATCCTAGTAATATTTTCGACTAGGCATTTGGCTCTTTGTGAGCTAGAGTTTATTTGAATTTGTCCACCCCGGCAGACTGTTGCAGAGGGTGGATGGATTTTGCTTTAAGTTTTTGGATGGATAGATTTTTATTTTAAATATCTTGGAATTTCGAATTATTGCGGAGCTTTGGATTTTGGGGATTTTTGGATTTTGTGGAGTTTTGGGTTTTGGATTTTGTGGACTTTTAGGAGACATTTGAAAATATTTGGAATGGACCCCTCCGGTTGAGATTTGCATTCAACACGGCCATCATCGGGGTGTTGTGGGGTCATTTCTCTTTATGGATTGAACCTTGTCAACTCTATCGGGCTGTCGACAGAGGATCGGGTTTTGTAGGCTTTGAGCCTTTATTAGTGAATTCATATTGTTGTAGGCTTTGATGACCTAATATGAATGTTTTAAAACAAATATATCGGTCGCCACGACTTTATATTTGCTTAATGGTTCGAACCCTGTCGACTTCTATTGACCCGTATAGAAGGATCAGTTTCGAACCTGAATTCACTTGTCAACCCGCGCAGCATCCCTAGACGTCACGTGTGTACCAATAATACGCTCGTCGGGGCCCTTGCGGGTTGAGAATATATTTCCCCCTTTAGTGTACCTATGTGTATACAAGCTATTGTGCACGTGCGGGAGTATTTTAAAAGTATTTGTAGACGCCTTCTGTCTGCTTGTACTGAGGTTGCAGATCCGGTGGCGTGACGTAGCAGCTTTTAAATAGAGTTGTTCGCTGCTTCATACAGGTAGACTGTCGTGCACTACTCGTTGCTTCATGCAAATGGATTGTAGTGCACTAACAAATCTCCTGCTTTATTGTAGATGCTCGCATCCATTGTAGTTCTTTGGCATTTATTCTTAGGTTGTATGTAATATTCGGAGTGGAGCGCCAGTAGAAGCTCGTGGGAGCTTGTATCTGTCGTATTCTTTATGCACTTTGTTGTAGTATCTGGCTCACGTAGTACATCCGCCACTGCTGTATGTAGGTAGATAGATGTTTTCCTTCACATACTGGAATTGACTTCAGGATACTGCATTTACTGAAGTCTTTCTGCATCTACCCATCAGTGGCCGGCATGTGGCACGTACATTTGTCTTTGTAGAAAGATCGAATGTGTTGCAGATCTTTTGGTTGTTATATATGAGTAGGAGTCGTACACCTTACAACTGTTCATTTCTATAGTGCATTGACTTGGTGGAGATTGTCGTATCTACTACGAGCTCCTAGGAGTGTTTGTAGAAGAACCATTGCTCCTGCATCAAATCCACCTTTTCACCAATCTCAGGTGGTTTGATGATCTCAGGTGGTTTGATGATTGCACTTGCTTGTAGGGGTGCAGATCTTTCTTTATTAGTCTCTCGTATTGCCATCTCAATCAACATGCATTGTTGCTTGTGAGTGAACCAAATTTCACTTATATTTGGGATTTTAATGAGTGACCTTCATTCATTCATTGACCTCTGCCTGCATAATCAAACTTAATGATTGATATTCAGGTAATCATGCATTCATTAAATTTGATTATCTAATTATGGTTCAAATCCGGATTCACATCCACTATGCTTGATCTAAATCAAGCCCCGGTGTTCAAATCCTTCTGAAGTCCAACTCAAGTTTCTTGCTTGAGTCCAAATGCTTGAATCATATTTGATGTGCGAACCAAATCCAATTTGAGTTCAAAGTGCTATGTCCCATGCAGTCCTTTGAGTTCAATTGAATGTTCAAATTACTCAAATTTGGGTTCCAATTTTGATTCTTATTTTATTTGAATTTGGCCTTTAGAAATCATTTTGAGTTTTGGTTCTGGTCCACAGGTCCACAGTTCATTTGAGTCCACATCTTTGTTCTTTTGAGTTCTAAAGGTCCAGGTACGATTTCACCCGAAATTTCGGCAACCTCCTGGCGTCTCCCCCGTTTAGGGAAAAACTACGAGAAACTGGGCCTTTCCCACCACGCGCAATAAAGGCGTGTATGGTAGGTGTCATCTGACGAAGACACCGCGGCCGTGATTTTTTTTGTTCCTCCCACCACGCGCAATAAAGGCGTGTATGGGGTCTTTGACGGTACCTGTTTTAAATGACACAATTTGCTTTCCCCCCGCTCGGGGGTACTTATGAGTAACCCCGCCTCATCATAGGTGTCGCACCGGGGTCCCATCACACCACGCGCAATAAAGGCGTGTATAGGCAGTTTTCCGGTGCGCCACGAATGCCGAAGTAGAGTTTAGGCGATCGCTCGCTTTGTCGTAAGCATCAGACCGGCGTCCCATCCTACCACGCGCAATAAAGGCATGCATAAGAGTTTTTCCGGTCGGATGCAAACAACGACGCGAAAATCTGAGTTTAGAGAGTTCGTACCTTCGCGGGCTTCGATGGTGGCGGTTTAAAAATGCACAGTTTGCTTTCCCCCCGCTCGAGGGTACTTATGAGTAACCTCGCCTCGTCGTAGGTGCCGCACCGGGATCCCTTCCCACCACGTGCAATAAAGGCGTGTATAGGCAGTTTTCCGGTGCACCACGAACGCCGAAGTAGAGTTTAGGCGATTTTCGCCTCGTCGTAGGCGTCGGACCGGGGTCCCATCCCACCACGCGCAATAAAGGCGTGTATAGGCGGTTTTCCGGTGCGCCACGAACACCGAAGTAGAGTTTAGGCGAAATCCCTCCGTTAGGCGAATTTGCGGGATTTGGCCGAGAAGCATGCGTAAGGGAGATGGCTACCTTCTCAGTTAACGAGCTCTTGTTCTTGCTTGCTCCGATCAGACAGGAAGGGAAGGCCGTCGGAGGGAGCGAAGTCGAACTACCGTGAAGGAGCCGAAGAAGCCGCATGAAAGGAAGAAAGTTAACGTCATAGCGAGCGAGACTCCCGTCGCTGGTTCCGATCGAAAGGTCGGAGCCTTCGATCCGAAAGGGAAGGGACGCCGGAGGAGCAAAGTCGGCTAGCAAGGGAGGAGGTAGACAGATCTTCCTCTCTCTCTCTTTCTGTCTGTTCGTGTGTGGAGTCGGCACGGACAGGAGGTCGACGGGGTCGGGTAAGGCTACAGGCGGTGTGGAGTCGGAGCTGAGGATGGGATTCCGACCTTGGGAGATCGAATGGGGGTTGAGGAGGCGTCGGTTGCGTGGAGGAAGGAGTGGCTTCGGGCAAGAGGAGGAGTTTGGTGTCGGGAGTGAAAGCAGCTACGAGAGTTGAGGCTGAGTGATCGGCTTCGTTTTATAGCCGCGAATGGGAGGCGATCGAAGCGGTTCGCAGGATTTAGGCAGGATTTCCGCAGATTTTTCGGAGAAACGACGCAGACAACTGATGAATCGGCAGGATTCGCGGAGGCTTTCGTGGATCCGATGGGAATGTGCCATAGGATTTCTGTTTTGCTTTCTTCTCCTTTTCATTCCTTTGGTTATTGTTTAGAGGTCAACACTACCATGTGTATTGATGCCCATTCATTACTGTTTATAGATGCTTCGTAGAAGGCATGAAAATGCAAGAGAGAGAGAGAGAGAGAGGTACCTTATTGCAAAAAAGCATATCTAACTTTGATGATCTATTGGTTGGTGCAGTGGTACCATTTGGAGTTTGAGGATAACAGGTACGGATTGTCTTCACACTACAAAAGAGCTTGAAATCCTAAGAAACCTCAGATTTTGTAAGAATTAATAGAATAAATTACCTTCCAGCAGCAGAGAAAATCTTCATAAGGTTCTGATAAGAATGATCCTCAGGAAGGTTTTCAGCCACAACAATACGAGACTACACAGAAAAAAATAAAAAAATAAAGGAAATAAGAGTTTCTCTTATGGAACGTTTTATTATAAATTATAAAAACAATAATTAGCTACCTGCAATTCCTCAACGTCAGCTTCAGTGAAGGGCTGTAGGCGCCTAACTTTCTTTCCGTCGTCACTGATAACCTGAAAAAATTGTGTCCCACAATTAGGAAAACATTAAAAGTACAAGCATCAAAGAAATGTCAAAAAAAAAAAAAAAAACATAGAACTAGTTAATACACCGACAGGAAAAACACCTCTACAAAAAAGGACTGAATCAGAAGCTTACAAGTTTGGAAGATGTCCTTAGAGCATTAGCAAGCAAAAAATTGTTGTGCACCAATGCCTTAATCTTCTTAAAAGAAGCAACAACTGATATTGGCACTGCAGAAAGCGTTAATGACCCATTGTGAGTTAGATGCTCTACTATTTTTGAAAGCAAACGCAGTTTGATTTTATAGATGATGGAAAATTACATGGTGGGATAAGCACTGCCACAACAAGCAATTCAGATTACTTGGGACAGCACACATTTAAAATCACCGTTTTCCCTACCCTAGACTTAAAAAAAAAAAAAAAAAAAAGAGGGCTTCTATTAAGTTGACACCCAAAAGTAAAACTCAAGAAAAAATCTATGAAAATAATCTAGAGTTAAATGCCAATCATCAAATGTTTAGACAGAAAATACATTGTATTTCCAGCATATGTTTTGCACATAAACTCAAACAATAAATAAAAATTAAAACTTCAAATACATCAAACTTGGTGGTACGTTTCCAACTCTACCCTCAATATGTAACGGCAAAGACACGTTCTGTACAAATATAAAGATCTACCATGACAAGGAAAAAGCCATTACCCCGTCAGTCAAATGGAGACAAAGACACGATAACCACGATGGTGGAACATGTGACAATGAGTTACTATATCATGGGACATTATAATATTAATATAAACTATTCCAGAAATCCAGGCATCGGACATACATGTCATGACAACTATGCTTATGGTGTTACCATGAGCATATGCAGCTTGGTGTTCCAACGTGAAATCCTAATTTTCTATCAACATCATACGTGTAACGTGATGTAACACTTGTCAGTGATGCTTATGACTACGCATAGTTTTCAAAAAATGTATCGCTTTATGCGAGATGGCTAACACTTGTCAGTGATGCTTATCACTATGCATAGTTTTCAACAAAATGTGTTGCTTCATGCGAGATGGCTCTTGTGTATACAGATGTATATAAGATGGAAGACAATCTTGTGCCAGTGCCTTCGGTTTGTTGGTTGCGAAAGACTAATCAAATATGTCATGTTGCAAATTATAATAGAGCTTTTGAACATTATTAAAAGAATTGCTTCTTGCAGCATTTAACCAACTACACTCTTTCATGTATTTCTTGATTTGGCATCTTATATAGAGCTTCTTCTCACCCCAACATGGCTATATGTGCCTCGGTAGAGGTCTTCATCCTCATCATTATCTTGAACCTTTGATTTTATTCTTGGTCTTATTTTATTATCTGATTTTAGGTGGCATGATTGGGTTGGTTGATGTAGCTAGGTTAGAGATCATTTACAGGATATGATTTATCGTGCATTTTGCTTCTATTAATTGGTGGCTACTTTTGTGTATAGCAGTCATTTCATTTCCATTTCCATGATGCTCATAATATTTTAGAGATCAATCATGACTCTCTAACAATTGCTTGCTATGTTAATCCCTCCATTTGTGGTATTAACTCTTGGCAAAGTTTAATGGATAGTCTCCACACCCTTCGTAAGGCACGAAGAGTGCTTCATGAAATGAGACCATTCCACACCTTGCTGCGGGTATTGTTTTACGCATTCTTATTCCTTAGGCAGTCGACTTAGGATCTCACTATATTGTTGCCGATGTGACAACTTCAAAAACAGGCCTTGGTGTCATGGACACCTTGCTCGAGTTGGTTAATCCAAAGGTGACAGTGCCCTATGCTCTATGTGACTTTGATTCTTTCCCATCCTGCCATTTAGATGGTTACTGTGGGTGAGGCCATAGTTGCGTTGAGGTTGTGCTACCTAGTTAATCCTGCTAGTAGTCATATGCTTGTCTCAAAGATTAAGCCATGCACGTATAAGCATAAACTATTTAAAATTGTGAAATTGCGATGGCTCATTAAATCAACAATAATCTGTTTGATGGTATGTGCTACTCAAATAAGCATAGAAATTTAGAGCTAACAAGTGCACCAAAATCCCGACATCTGGAAGAGATGCATTTATTAGGCAAAAGGTCAATGTGGGCTTGCTCATTGCCATGATGATTCATCATAATTTTTTCATATGGCACGACATTGTAGATGAATTTTAAAATGTAGCAAGTCATATAAGAAAATTTAAAATCAATTTCATACATCAATTTTTTTTGGTTAAGTAATTCAACATTAATGCAACAATTTTTTCAATAAAACATATATTGAGGACCTTAGATGGAAATTCATATATATATATATAAGTTGGAAAACTTTTCTGAGGCAGAAGGGTCTGACAAGGTTCGTTCGTTAAAACTTTCATTCACCCTCGTAAGGTTTAACTCTATCATTTTAAAAACAGAGTGCTCGTACATGTCTGTTCTATAACTTGGAAATTTTAAAGCAAAAACAGGACTGGAAAAAAATTTTCAGTGGAACAGAGATTGAGGACCTACGGAAAGCTGGAAAACTTAAGGGTCCTGACAAGTTTCTTTCGTTGAAACCTACATTCACCCTTGTGAGGTTCAACTCCATCATAATTAAAACAAACTCCTCATACCTGTCTGTTCTATAACTTAAAAATTTTAACGCAAAAACAGGCAGGGAAAAAAATTTTGCTGCCAATACTTTTTTTCTAGTTGCTGTGGAGAAAAAATTGCTCAACTAGCAGGCTATTCTTTCGTTATAGTTGTTTGACAGAGGAAGACAGCAATGATACAGAAGCTTAATAGTAGGAGACCATAATCTAGTTCCTCTAAAAGAATGCATCAAGAATTTACATCTGGAATATGTTATAATCAAGAAATTATTTAAAATAACAAAATATACAATCAACAAAAAAGATAAATGCATAAGAAAAACTGGTTAGCTCACCAAATCCATCTGGATCTTTACTGATGAACCTCATCAAGTGTTCAGTAGTAGCCAGGTTTGCATCACTAAAGTAGTATTCCACCTGCCATTTTTAATGAAAGCATTCTTGAAAGGAACAACAATAAATGAATCTAGATTTAAGATACCTTTCAACTATCAGATATACCAAATTAAATGGTCGCAATTGGACAGAACATAAATGGACCATTGAGAAATTAAGAGTGCAACAAAATCTATGGATCCTTAGGAATAATGGTTAGCTCCTAATCATTTTAAAAACCCAACATCAGTCAGCCAGTTTGACACAATGAATGATTAGAAACCAAAAATATTACCAGTCTAAACAATCATTGCCGTAGAAAACAATTCAACAGTTAAAAAATATTGTAAAAGGCTAAATTTATTACTCTTTAATCATTCTGCAATAGAAATTGGAATAAGAGAAGGTTTGGACCAAGGAGTTGTAATCGGGAAAGGAAATTAGCAAAACACAGCAGGAGATTTGGCTGTCAAATTTTACTAGGAAAAAGCATAGCAACCAAAGATTTAACAAACTCATATAAACAACAAAGAATAAAAATTATCTTAATCATTTACAATTTCACAAAAAAAATTGATAAAAGCACTGGAAACTAGAAATTACAACAGGGTGAAGCACATATTGGTCAAAAATGGCACCAAGGGCACAGTATTCTTTCTCTAAACATTGGAAAGACCTGCATCTTAAACATCATAATTGTAAGCATTCAAAATAAGTTTATCTCAAAATACATGTTTAGAAGTAGTTCGAGGTAAGGTCCAGAAGTGAGCCTAAATGGCATAAGTTTTAGTGGTGAGTTTGTTTTGCATGAACCCGTTTCTTGCTAAGTTTCTATATTGTTCGGGCTACAATTATTTTACAAAACTTAGGTTAAATTAGTACTTAATTTGCCTTAGTAGTAAGGCAGTCTAATATCTTAATCATTTAGTAAAGCCGACTTATTATTTAATTAATAAGGTACAATAAATTAGAATAAATTTGCCTTAATAATAAATAGTTATTAGTAAAGCTAATAAAAGTGTGATTGTAATAATTAATATATTAATTACAACATTGTATCATTGATCAAAACAATTTATTATCCTAATTATTAGTTTATGAATGATTATAATAATTAGTCGGTCTAATTTGATATCCTTATTACTAATTCAAACATACATAATTAGATCAAGTAATTTCTTCAACTAATTGGTAACTGATTGGCCTAATTAATCCCTAATAATGCTTAATAATCTATTAAATAACCATTTTATGACTAATTACACAATTTATTATTTCAATCATTAACTAATAACTTTACTTATATGAGTGTAACATCTCATTTTATTCTTCATTAAATAGAATTTTAAATTAATTGAATAAATGGCTTAATTAATCTCCTAAAAGTTTAATTTAACATATGCTTATCAACTAAATTTAATTAGTTTTCCTGATTAATCAAACTATGATAAATTAGCTCAATTTGTTATCCTCACCTTACACTAATACTTGATTAGATCAAATAGTCCCTAACTAATTATTTTATTAGCTTTATAATATTTCACGATCATCATAAACAAAAGAAAAATTGGAGGTGACTATAAAACTCTGACAATTGGACTCACTTCTCATCTTTGAGAAGATGAGTTCCCAACATATAAACTCCCATCAATGTTTTACCAAACAAACACTTGAATTGGTTCCAAAAGTGAGTTCCAAGCACTTTGAGACACATAATGAAACAAGTAGTCCCGCAGTAACAGATAAAGTCTTGCAAAAAATTGACTTTTTATACTTCATAGTACTTGTAATTAGAGAAATATTTTCGCTGTTTGTTTTTTGGAGTAATATGTCCAAAAGTTCATTTCAGACAAAATCATCACCAATAAGAGATTACATCTTGTATTTATCGTCAGATCAATGAAAAGCTATTTGAAATTAGATCAAATAAGTTCAAATTCAACCCCAATTTGAACCACAGTTTGAACCTCAAATCTGAACCTGTTTTGAACCACATTTGAACTAGGTTTGAACCTGTTTGAAATCGAACTCGTGGATGGAATTTGCTGGGGAAGGCACTGCGAGATAATAGCTCTCTGGTGGCAGGCTTCGAAGGGACTAATACGTGGACAAAACTCATTAAGGAAGGCATCCCAAGACTGACGGAGTAGAGCGCTGAGAAAGGCATCACAGCACAATGACTAGTGTTGAAGAGAGAATTTCAGGATGGTAGCTCCTTAGTGGTAAGCTTTGATGGAACAAGCACATGAATGGAGCTCGTTATCGAAGGTATCACGGGATCGCGACGTGTGTTGAAGAAGAGAAGTTTGCAACGAAAGTTCCCCGGTGAAAGGCGTCAAGGGAGAAGTTTCAAATAAAGGTTTGAATTCAAACTAGTTCAAACATATTTTGTTTGCAATTGGATTTTAAAAAAGTCTAAGAGTACAATATGGAGAGTAATTTCGATCAAAATTGAGTTTCAGGCACATTCTACAAGAAAACTAAAAGAATAAATATTTCTCCAATTATGTGCCCTAAAGTTTTTTCTACTACTATAATACCACCAACTAAATAATCAAAAGAATTTTCCACTTAGAATCCGGCCACTAAACCCACTAAATGGCATTTGAAGAGCCAAATTGAACACATCGAGGTCTCCTAATTTGTCCACTAAACTGTAAGCACAGAATAACAGAGAAATAAGTTCCAGTTATCGAAAACCAATCAAGAACTAATTAACCTGCTTCGTGATCTTCTGCACGACATCTTCAGACAAACCTTCCCTGGCAGGGAGAGTAGAATCAGAATCGGCCGGCGCCTGCACAGACTCTTGGTCGCCAAACCCTCCTCTTCCAATCGCGCCCCCGTAGTACTCATACACCCCAATCGGCGGCCCCGGCGGGATGAATTGGGGGCTCACCGTGGGCGGAGGCGGGGGCGGCGGATGGAAGACGTGGATCACAGCTGGCGGAGGCGGGTGATGATGGATCTTAACAACCCGTGGATGACCGCCCACAGGCGCCGGTGATGGGGCTCGAGGAACAAACTCCGGAGCGCTGGCGTTGAGACGGCTGAAAGAGCTACTTCGGGAAATGGAGAGATCTGCGCCGGAGCTTCCAATCTCCGTCTGTGATCGATCGCCGGAGGAGGAGGTGGCGGAGAACGGGATCAGGTCTTCGTCGATTATGTCTAGGGGTTTCTCCGTAACATCTAGCTGCGCCATCGTTCGAATCGCTCTTAGAGTAGAGATTAGCAGGGAATTTTCTTTCTACTTTCTGGAGCAACGAGCCCGCAAGGGCGGAGAATAGTGGAGAGGAAATTCTCAGAAAATCGGGGTTCGGGGGGCGACGGCTATTTATAGTCGAATGGACCAATTGCCGACCACCGTTCGAATGTCGCTCGAAATAGGGTAGGCCATTCGCTTGATCAAAAAATTATCCCTCGATTGATTGGAAGAGATATTAGCTCTCTAATATCATAAATTTTAGCCACACTTTTGTAATTTATTATTTATTAATTAAAATTAATAATTCATTTTTTATTCTTATAAATATTAAAAAATTTACTAAGGTAAAAATTTTTCAAACTTTATGAAATTAGAGAAATTCTATTCATCAGTCATATATTTTTACTTGGTAAAATAAAAAAGAAAAATTTTATAAAAAAATATTGTTCTTAATGCTTGGATTATGATTTTAATCATTATTTGAAGGCGCCCCTCTTTTTTTTTTTTTCTTTGGAGTTTGGAGCTTCCCCTTCCAACATCCAACTTTTGCTTAAGTCAAAATCATCATCTCTCATGAAAACCTCTTCAACAAAAATAGAAACAATCTAAGGCTCCTTTGGGACGATTTTTTTACTACTGCTTAAAGCAACTTTTTAATACAAAAATTTTAATTTTTGTACTGAAAAAATATTTTAAGAAGCCGCAAACAAACAGTCTCAAATGAAACCTTAAACTGATCCAATTATATTATTTTTATAAAATTCTTCTTTCTAACTCTTCAAGATGCATATTTGTTAGTCTCCTAGACTCCCTCTCACATTCCAATTCTTCATAAACCCCTATTTTTTCATAAAAAGTCATTAATTTTAAAGCAATAGGCTCACAATCTGTTCTTACTAAAGTTGATTTTCTCACAATTGCTCTTTATATTATTGTTCCTTAGGATCCTCCTCCACTTACTGAACTTTCTGAACCCTATTAGTATCATCTCTAAGATAGCCAACAAAATTGATTCTCCCTTTGTTCAGAACTTTCTCACCTTTAACAAAATCATGTATGACTTTCAACTGGATTAATTGTAGCTTGATCGGCCAATATTTAGCATAGAAAAGAGTAACCAATTCTTTCAAAATTTATCAACAGCTCATTTAAAAACTATAATTTCATAGAAGAAAGTTTTCCAATAAAATTCTAAGGGCAAAGAACAAAGCAAACAATCATAAGGAAATGCAGAGATGCTTTGAAGGTTTTACATTTACAAACAGATACTGTAACATATATACACATCATGAAATTATTGGAAATAAAAAACAAGCTGTACATGCTTAGTTTCAGCGTTGCCTACCTAATTAGTGGGAGAAAAAGAGAAGAAATATGTCTTTTTTTGTGAAGGATTACAGTACTAGTTAACAAATTAGGAGTAATTTTTGCAGAGAAATAAAAGATTGGGCTGGTTTATATGATTCTGTTAGTTGATAAAGATCAGAATTCAGACTCCAGAAGCTTTATTCTAGGTTTGATGTTAATGTAAGCAAAAGGAGTCTCCTGCTCCACTTGAATGTAGTCCCTGCCCTTTAGGACCTGTAAGTAACAAAGCAATCAGCATTTAAAAACCTTAAGAATTGAATTTGTAGACAGCAAAACTATATCACTTAGGTTTTGTTTTGGGATGACTTTCTTATTGCTTCTTAAAGCAGCTTTTCAGCACAAAAATTAAAAAAGTTTGTGCTAAAAAGCTGCTTTAAGAAGCAATAAAAAAGCTGTCCCAAATGAAACCTTAGTAAACCAGCATTCTATGGAGTTAAGTAAGAACTGACTATGAGTTGATTTTCCACTTAGAAAATCAAAATAAAAATCGCAAATAACAGGAGAAAACCTCAGTTTGGAGAAGCTTTATATTCCAAAAGATCAAGCAGGTCAATGATTTTTTGAAGCTTTACAGGAGGGATAGAACTCATGAAAGCCATAACGAAGAAATGGGTAAGAAAGCTAAGACTTCGTTAAAATGGCCTATGATATTCTGTTTTTGTTGTCATAATTTTTAACAAGTTATATTGCCATAAGCTAATTGATACAAATATTTATTGGTAATAGAAGAAAGCCTCAGATTGGAAAAGCATATATTCCAAAAGATAAAAGCAGGTCAAGGATTTTTCAAAGCTTTACAGAGGGGATAAAAGCAGGTCAAGGATTTTCAAAGCTTTACAGAGCGGATAAAACTCATCAAGACAACAAAAAAATCAGTAAGAAAGCTTAGGGTCTGTATAGGATCACGTTTATATTTAATTTATTTTTTTATTTGTAGAAATCAAATTATTTTTAAAAATATTCAAAACAACTTTGAAATATTTTGAGTATTTTAAAAGAACTACCACAACCGGCCCACCACTCCTCGGCCACCATCGCAGTCATTGTCATCGCTACCTCGCCGGCAATCACCGCCACCATCACATAAATCACCTTCTTCGATATTCAATTAAAAAAAAGATATTCAATTAAAAAAAAAACATAATTTTAAAATATCAAATATATATATATATATATTATGAAAATAAAAAAAAAATGAAATAGAAAAAATAAAAAGTGATCCTAAACGGCCCATTAGACTTTTGTCTGAATCAATTTAAGTTATTCTGTTTTTCCTGTCAGCAGCACTTTTAAGAAGTGTGACATCAAATTATGATTGATGCAAACAAATACTTGTTGAGGAAAAATAACCAGAGGCATACCAGGGTTTCGAAGAACATTCTTGATGCTTCTTTGCGAGTTTTACCAAATAAAAGACGGTCCACTGCAACAGTTTTTCTTCCACGCACAGATTCTTCATAAAACAAGTTCTTTAGATATTTAGCAACGCCCCTGCAAAACAATTCAGTACAAGATAGAAAGTTTAAAAACAATCAGTAAGTTCACAGCCGAATGCTGCAACCTTCTGCAATCAGTCAGTTCAATGGGGACTGCATACAAATTATAACAAAGAAAATCCCACCTTGTTCGAACAGACCACCCACTGTTCTCAAATAACTTCGCTGCATCGGGATTAGGCCCATCATCTTCTACTACATCCAAGTCAACCTCATCATCCACATTCAAAAGTTCTAACAAAGGAGAAAGAAGTAATTAAGGACCTACTCGAAAGTAGAGAAAAGTAGATTTTATGGACAAAATGTTGCTGAAGAAGAAAAATAGAACAGAGAAATAATTCAAGCTTATTAATAGAGAAGTTCAAGACTTTCATTGCTTCAATTCAATACAACATTTGACACAAAATAAAAGGATGTAACCTTTACTTAAATTATACAGTTCTAGATGAAGATAAATTAGATGGGCGATTCAAAGTCAGGAATCACTTTGCTCTGTTACTTTCTCCATTCACAAAGTGATCACATTGTGACCCTTGGATTCCATTTTGAACATTTGAAGTGTGCATGTTTTTTGAACCCTCTAGCCATAATCTAACAATCTTAGTCATTAACATGGTCATGACCAAATAACTTTCCAATCATTATTGGAGGACTTGAGAGTCTTCATTTTCTTTGCTTGATTTATATTGAGTTTTAATGATTTTGTTAAACTCCTTTGGTTATTATATTCTAATAATTAAATCCATCATCAAGGTGAGAAGCCTACAAACATTTGTTTTAACTTCTTGATGTCCGATTATTAACTTAATACAATTTGAATCAAGCATGGTCGGTTTGAAGAATATAGCCTGCAGAGCTAGACTTGATGGACTCAATTTGATCGAGAGATCTTAACATAATGGCACACATACTGAAATAAATACTATAACTAGCATCATGAACTTCTTCATGATTACTTTTTGCCTGTAATTTGTTTTGTTTCTAATGTCAACAATCTTTATTAGTTTCCCAGCCATTTGAGGTCAGCTAGTGAGCCTTGCTTACATCGATTATTTGGAAATATATTGATTTTTTATTCTTATACATCGGGCTTGTTGTGTGATAGAAAAGTTTCTCTCAAACTTAAGGAAACATTCTATAAGATGGCGGTGAGACCTGAAATGCTTTATGGTGCCGAATGTTGGCCATTAAAATAAAAGCATAATACTAAGTTAAGTGATGCAGAGATGAGGATGCCCAGGTGGATGAGTGATTTTACCCTTAGAGAGAGGATACGAAATAAGCATATACGTGAAAAGGTTGGAGTAGCTCAGTGAAAGATAAGATTAGAGAGAGTCGCCTTAGATGGTTTAGTCACATAAAACGACGGCTTTCCGATGACCCGGTTAGGAAAGTAGAGGTATAAGATTTGACTTATGTTAAGAAAGGTAGAGATAGACCTAAAAAGACTTGGTTAGAAAATATTAGAAATGATCTTTCTTTATTAGATTTAAACAAGAATTTGACTTTTAACATGACACAATGGAGAAAAAGGATTCATGTAGCCGACCCCACGTAGTGAGACAAATGCTTGATGTTATTGTTGTTGTATGCTTGCACTTAGTTGTGCAACTCTATCATTCTTGTACAAAAGATTAAGATGTTTGAAATATGGACCTTGTGAACTCCACCTTTTTGTTTGTAGAAGATTGGCTACAAGAAATTATCGAGTCATGAACCTTGTCTACTTTGCCCTGGTATGTAGAGCATCAAGTCTTGAAGTGGTTATTTGGTTAATACCATTGACTCTAATTTTCATATATAGAGGATTGAGCTTTGAACAACTATAAACTATGTGCGTCATCCGCCTTGAAATGAGTCCTACAACTCAAATAATGGAAGAAACCCAAAAGTTGAGACTTACAACCTTGCCCTATAGGTAAGATGAGATGTAATGAAATTATGTCATAAAAGACCTTGAAAAAAGGAAGAGCATTATTGGCAAGACTCACAACTGATATATTGATCCTCAAGTCTATGATAAAAAGAATGGTTTAACCAAGGGCAAAAGAATTGTTATTATAATATATATATATATATATATATATATTGGCAAGCAAGCATCAACTCCATCCCTCGCATGTGGAGGATCAAGTTGTGGCAAAAACCCCATATTTTCACAAATATATATAAATAGTTTTGTATATTTTATAGAATTTTTAATATTAACACCATTAGCGTTGGTTGAGAAATAAGGGCTTTGTATGCTTCAATACCGTCTTGAGGAATTCTGGGGTGCTAAACATAGCTCATAAAATTATCCAGGAATTTTCTAGTTTCTCCAAATTTTTTATATTTTCTTTGATTTGCCCTCTTTTTTTGTCCCAGGATATATCTTTCCCTTCTAATGTGGACATTTCCCACATGCCTATCTTAATGAATATTCATTATTTCTTTTCAACTTTCTCAATTTTTCATTTTTTCATGTTTTTCATATTTGTACTTCTTAAAATATTAGGTGCCTCATACGAGACTTCTCTATCAAGTTCAATGTGCAGCAACATAGAGTTATAAAAGAGGGATGTGAGGAAAACTTTAACCAAAAAGAAGTTGGCGCATCTTAAAAGGAAAGTTTGACTTAAGTTGAATGCATATCAAAGAGTGTGCATTACAAGCTTTATGATGCACCTTAATTCACATTAAATTTTCAATGGAAGATGTGAGCGCCATTTTGAAGTTGTTTCCAACTCAAAGTTTGATGTAGGCAAACTAGAAAGAAAAGACAAGTAGGAGAACACTAGGACAAATTAAAACCAAACTTCATTCAAACTAGTATGCAAACATCCCAAAACAAACTCCAAAGCAAACAAAAAGTCGAAACAAACGAAACAAAATTATAACATAAAAATACTATCCTCAGAACAACCGGCAAGCGGTTTCCTCACATGCAACGAGAAGTAGGAAATAGATGATAAAGTGCTTAGGCTTGCAAACCGAGGGTCCACCACAGCAAAAGGGTCTAACGTCCTACCAAACTCCTCCATCAAATGTCTCTCAAAATTCAGCTAACAAACAACTCCCAAAAGCTTAAGAAGAATGATACAAGTGGAGTGAAACTTGCGTAGAGAAGAAGATGTTAGAAGCCAAGACGAAATAGAGAGGAGGAAGAGGTGGAACAAGCTCTCAAGCTTTTCCAAGAGAAGAAACCCTCATGTTTTTAGCAATTTATCTCAAGATAATCAACTCTCCATGACAAAAACTTCTCATATATATAGGCAAAAAGGGGAGCCAAACAACCAACATCAATCTCCAACCAAACCAATCAGGTAAGGGGAAGAAGAAGGGCAATAGACACTACAAAACAACTCCCAATAATTAGCACAGGAAACGAATAAGAGAAGCCACAAGAACACAGCCAAGGAGGGCCCGAAGAGCCAACACATAAAACGGAAAGGAGAAGCCACAGGAAAGCAGCCAGGAGGAAAACCGAAAAGGCACCCAGCAGGTTTCACTGGAACAGCACAAAGAAGGAACCAAAGAGACACAAGAAGGGGAAGAAACAATATCCACTTCACATACCTTTTCAAAATTATGAGCTAGGAAGTGCAATAACTCCATCAATTAATGAGCTAAACATCAACTCAAGTTTTAATGAGCTAGCACCAAGTAGATCTCAAGATTACAACTCAAAACCAATGCAGTCAAAGCCCAACCCAAGAACAACCAAGGCTCAAACCGAGAAACAGCAAGCAGCCCAAAGGACAAAAGGACCCAAATGCTAGCAAACCCAAGCCTTGCCATGCCCAAGCACATCCCACCACGATCATTGGATAGCAAAAAACATAAAACACAACTAATAATGTTCAAATTACATCAAAACAAAAATAAACCAAAATATAAATGCATCAAAGTTTCATCCTTCAAAATCGCATTTTCTTCATGAATGACTATTTCATCAAATTGCATACCATTGTATTTTGTTGAATGCCTTTCGATGCACTGCAATACACACTTCTTGACGCATGACATCACGCATTTTTCAATGAGCAACATCACACGCCTTTAGGTGCACTACTATTTTGTTCACAAATATTATGCACTTTACCTTTTATCTAGTGCATGATGTTCAAAAGCATGTGAAAGAAACAATGAGCAAGGGAGGTGTAGATAAATACGAGAGAATAGGGAACAGTGCAAAGAGGTCATAAGAGGGGGAAAAAGACAGGAAAGAAGAGCTAATGAAAGGCACAAGGGTTTAGAAAAAAAAAATTATTAAGAGGTGCAATCAACCCCCTAATAATTCACATATATGATTTTTTCACATGCTATATAGCTCCCCCCCCCCCTTTGTGTGTGTGTGTGCAGTAGAAGAGAACTCCAAGCAAGAGGCGAAGAGCAACACTCGGTGGAAGGAAACCGACGTCGGTATCGAATGGAACGAAGAGGGGGAAATGTCGGTCAAAGGAGAGGAAACCCTCGGTTCGGCAGAAGACAAGTGAGGGGGTCTTGAACTGAATAGATAAATATTAGGTTAGGTTTTTTTTTTTAAAGAGGCGAACGCCTCTAAAATCTGAGACGAGGCGCGCCTTGAGGTGCGTCTCAGTAAATTTGAGGCGTACGCCTCATTAACTGCTCTCATGGCGTAGGCTTTGAGGCTTAAAAGACCGAAATTGCGCTGAGGCGCGCCTTTTATGGCGCAATTTAAACCATGATCTATACTACAATGGCTCCATCAAATAAGACTATAGCTGCTAATTTACATGACAATGCAATATTCAGATTACTATGAAATTTGAACAGTAGTCATTTCAAAAATTCAAAAAAAAAAAAAAAAGCTGAATCGGTATTAAGAGAAGTAATTACCAGCATAGTTGTCATCAATTGCACCGCAGAAATCCTGAAAATCCATGACCAAGAAATCAGAAAACTTCATAAAAGAGGGTATAAATAAGTGGATAACCAAAAATAACATTGCATGTCAAGAACGGAGTCAGCAAAACTAGAATATGTTCGAATGTCAAGTGGACAAATACTTGGAGGAAAGAAGCAAGGTCTGATGTATTCCTACAGTTATGCATTGAGAATGAGCATAAAAGCACACATGTACTTCGTTATACAAGTTATTCAACTGAAGCATGCAGCTTACACTATAATCGCGTGCAACAACATCTATGGGATTGCCGTGCATGAGCAGACCAGCCTCGAGGCTATGCTCCTTTACAACAGAATTTTCTTCAACAGTGAAGGGAACATGCTCAGTAGGGGCAGATAAAGAGGCCATGCACTTAGCTTCTGAACAGGTAGTGCCAGGCATAGGCCAGTCCTCATTCCCCAAGACCTTTAAATTATGACCTTCTCCAGCAACAGTAAAGCCAACAGTTTTCTCTAATAGCAAATCTGCCCCACTGTCTACTGTTACACCATGTGCTGAAACACTTGCTCCGTCGATCTCCATACAATGAGCAAGACAAGTTTGAGGGCATTCCAAATTCTCCATATCCACAGCATTAGCATGTTTCTCTTTGTCCTTGTTGGATGTAAGGACAGCATTAGACTCATCTTCAGCATGGGTTAAACATTCAGAATCCATAAATACAACTGCAGAATTATCTGTTGTTTCAATGGTAACTTGTTCTAACCCATCACCGAGGGTGTTTTGATGACCCTGACCTTCAGAGTGCAGTGATTGCTCCATTATAATTGTGATCGCCTCATCATGCTTCTCGAGGGGTAGACAAGATTCAGAATTTTCAGCAATATGGGTCTCGGTCCTCAAGTGAAAACCTCTACGTGCATCAGCCTCCATTTCAGACATCATTGAATTATTAATGCTCTCATTATCATGTTTCTCATGGAGCGGACAAGATTCAGCATTATCAGTAATATTTTTCTCTGTAATCCTCAAATGAGAATCTCTCCCTGCAATTTCGGACATCATTGAATTTAGGCCTTCGTTCCAAGGTTCCAATTGAGGACGAACAAACATCTGTTCTATTTTCTTTTTCTTAGCCAATTGTTTGGCATCTTCATGGGCTTGCTCCATAATCAATAGATCATTATCTATCATATGATCTAGGCTCAGAGGACTTAAAATACTTACCCCCAATTCTGCCATCCTCAAATGAGAACTTCCCCGTCCAACATCCTCCATTTCAGATATCATCGAATGAGGGCCATCGTTCAAAGGTTCCATTTGAGGCTGAACAGATATCTGTTCTAACAGCTCTTTCACAGCCACCTGTTTGGCATCTTCATGGGCTTGCTCCATATCAGCCCCACTTATAAACAATGGAATTTTATCTCCAACATGATCTAGGCTCAGCGGAGTTGAAAAACTTTCCCCCAATACTTTGGCTCCAGCTTCATGCACAAACTGAGAAGTCCTGCAAGAATTTGCCTCTTCAAGTGTATTAGCATGAGAATTGTGAACCTTCTTTTCACTTCTTAGGTTCGCATGCAGATCGTATCTCTGACATTCCAAACTGTTCAACTCTGCAGTTACACCTGAAAGAAAGCACAAGCCAATCTTGTTATGTAAAATTAAAAAATTAACATAATTAATCCCATCTCTGCATAAACTCTCTTTAGTCCTCCTTTTGAGTCTGGATTAGATTTTGGCGGACAGAAACGAGTATTTGTTCAAAAGCAGAATAATATTCACACACTAGGGGGCTTAAAAAGTAAAAGATCACAACATAAACTATTTGGTAGGCACTACACTGATCTACAAAATCCTGCAAATTCTAGTTATTTCAACTATTCCAACATAGTCCAGAAATGAACTTAAGTTTAACTCCCACATATAATTGATTATTCTTACACTAAGTCACTGTCTTCATACAAAGCAAATATTGATTCAAGACAATAATATTTATCATTAAGAAAAAAAAACATGCCCAGGGAGCTTGACAAGAAAAGACTTCTACAAACACCCTAGAGCAGCTATAGCTCAAAGTCCAATGGAAGAAATAGTATGCATATCGCCTCAATTTTAGCCGTCTCTACAGTTCAGAAGCTTATGCTCCTCATAAGCAATGAATGCTACTTTTAAATTAAAAATGACTTTCTTTTTGCCCCATCTCTTCGAAGTTATTAGTATAAATCGGCATCAAGCTTTCCCAAACGTCATTCTTGACCATGTTAAATCTGAATAGCATTATACCATTCCTCCTTATCTTCCAAACTTCTTCCACAACCTTGTTCTAAATATTTTTTTTTTTTTTCAATTTCTAAGAGGCGCATATTCGTCTGTTTCTTATATGGGGAAATAAAACATTTCATGCCAATGTCTATTGATATTCAATGATCCATGTGCCTGGATCAAGTAACAAAACCATATTATGTAGATTAAAAATAACGGAAGTGATTAAATATTCAAAAAATTTACAAATAAAGTATAATTTTTAAGCCACGTGTAGGTTCATGGATAAAATACAAAAAAAAATTCAAAGCATTGGTAGTATGCATTTTTAACATACTTTAACGCCTTTCAAAGGGTACGAGGCCTTGAAAAAAATAAGAAAAACCCATGAGATTCTCTTAGAGAGAAATTCTAAGGGCGCCAGTGATGGGGACATCAGCAGTGATTTCGACACATGTACCTTCAGGAGATGCCGGAGATCGACGGCCACAATTTCGACACATGTACCTTCAGGAGATGCCGGAGATCGACGGCCACGATCATGATTTGTATTTTCATCATTTTATGTAGTAGTTTATTTTTATTTTATGTTTTTCCGTTTTTACCCTTATGGGTATTTGGTAGCTATTGTTGCCCAAGGGGCATTTTAGTACTTTATTTTCTTTGTCATTTTGAGGCCTATTTATATGGCCCATTTCTCATGTAAGAGTTAGTTTTGATGAATGAAAATATTTGCTTTGTGTTCTCTTTGTGAGTGCAAACCTCCACGATCTCTTAGTGAGTTCGTAGGAGAAGCTAGATCTCTTTGTGAGTTCTAGGTTCTATTGTCTTTCGTTTTTCTTTTAGTTCTCTTGATCAATTCGTTGTTGTGGAGATTTGGATTGAAGCCACTAGTGGGAGATTGGAGTTTCATGCTTTGGATCCTGAGAAATTCTCCTCACAATCCCCTCCCAAATCCCCATTCCGCCGCCCCTCCCCACATAGTCGCCGGCTGCAGCCCACCCTCCACCGCCGGCCTCCCTTGGCCGGCTCAGTTCCCGGCGGTCCTCCCAGCCATCAAGCCAACGGCCTCCCATCCACAATTTCCATGGCCGCCCCACACTATCTTGCCGGCCACCTTGCTCCTAGGAAGTGAAATTCAATTTTCAATGCCTCAAACACTTTCCTTATTTGCTTCCTGACTCCTTTGGAAAGGAGCCTTTTGTATTTTATTTTATTTACCTGTTGGATTCCAACGGATCCAAGGCTCAATTCAATTTAGGAAATTCTCTTAGCTAAGCAAATTTGAAATCATATTTTTAGATTTTGCTACCACCGTGAATTAACCTCTAGAGGGCCAACTTAATTACAATTAATTGCTCTCAGCTCTCCATATGGCCGGCCACCCATCCTCCTCTTTTCTCTCTCCACTCCACACTTAATTACTAATTAATTACCTCCTAAATACCTCCCCATCCCTAACGTGAGTTTCAGTTTTTTTCAGATTTTAAATCTGAGCTTTGAAAACAAATCTTTCCTCTCTCCTCTAAATAAAAATCTGAAATCAGATTTTAGTTTTTTTTTTCCCTACCCGAGGTCCATCTGGACGTGACTTGTTTTTCTCCAACCCAGTCCATCCTCCAACGTCTATTTCAGATTTAGTAATCTTTTCTCTCCCCATAAGTCCCGCCCAAAGCCCAAACTGCCTCTGTCCTGACGTTTGGCTTGCTGCCCCCTTACGCCAGCAGGAAGACCTTGCTGTCCAGCACACTGGACGCCCACAATTTGATGTCCCCAGTTTCCAGCAGCCTAGAAGAGCCATCCAACGTCTCTTGCACCTTCAAGGTTGCTGTCCAAGATCTGTCCAAGACCAAACTGCTGCTGTCTAGAGGAATTCGGAGACGTCCAGCCAGTCGGGAGAGCTTCGGATGCTGTTCTAAAGTTTCCGATTGCTGTCCACCACATCAAGAAGGGTTTTGGTTGCCGTCTACTTCATCTCAAGCATTCAAACAGCCACTAAAGCTTCATGTCTTCTATTTTTTTGGGTAAACTCATCATCCGACCCTTTTATCTTTGTAGTTACTTCTCTATTGTTGTGATATCTTGATTCATGGAAATCATGCTAATCTTCTCCGCTAAAATCTAGTAATTGGATGAGTTGTGTGAGGGATCTTCTCAGAACAACTAATCTTATTGTTAGTCTAGGGATATTTGTGGAAAACCATTCATGTACGCAACGTTAGATTGACTTGATTGTTATATGATCTTAACTCTTACCCGTGTGAGTCAACCGTAAGCTAGTTTTTCCGTTCTTAATATTTTATCTCGTCGTTCAAATTATTATAAAGATATAATTATTTGTTCTATCTAAAATTAAGCATGCAAGCTTTCATTACGAAACCCATCATCGCATGTACGTTTCACATCAGCCAGGCCTTTAAAAAGAAATAAAAAACAATGATCATTCTCTTAGAGAAAAATTCAATATAAAGAATTTTTTTGTAAGATGGTTGTACGAAGGAATATTTCTGACAAAATATGCAATACAAGTTTTTCATTTTTATATGATCTTGATAATCTGATAAGCATGTCATACTCTACCGCAAATTGCAATTATATGAGGCTCATTATGAAATGCATAGTGATAACAGTGTAGATGAGCGCAAAGTGGGCCATGTTTACATGGTATGAGACTGGTACTTGTATACACCCACCGGTTAAAGCACAATTTTTGAAAATTTCATCCTCCGCCTCATAAATATGGATCCTCCAAATATCAGGGCGAGTGCAGGGAGCCTTTTTTCGAATGCGGCGAATGTCCTGAGTGTTTATTAGCTGTTGTCGTATAATGCTAGCCAAAAGAAAATGAAACTAAAAAATCAGTAACAACACAGCAAATGACAATTCAATTGCCAATTCAGAATTCATTTGAAATATAAAAATTTGCAAACCTGACGGTTGAATGAAAACAGCAAAGGAATATATAGGAACTACCATAAAGAGGTATCATAAAAATAAGGAGGAAACAACAGAACAAAGTGGGCGTGATAATAAAAGCCAAATTTGAGCAAGCCATGGCTAGAAAGAAATGATTATAAGTTTGACCCAATCCAAGCTCAAGTTGAATTTGAATAGGACTTACAGTCATTTGAAATTACTCAAATCAAAATTCAATTAATCTTCAAGTCGAACTCCCTTTGTTTTTGACCTAGCTCAAATAAATTAGTTGACATTGAACATGTACGTTGCTTCATTTAAAACAATTTTATTTTTTATTTAAAAAATGATCAAAATCAGTAATCTCATTGACAGAAAGTGCATTCTACATTATGCATCATCAGCCTTAACAGCTTCATTTAAAGTGATCAAATTTGATCCATGCAATATTATTATGTTGTGCATCAACGTCAATCATCTAATCTCTAAATATTTCTAGACAAAAAGGATAACAGAATATATGTACACAAAAACAAAAAATCGTTCCATGCAATATTCATGTGAATTTGCATGGTCTTCAAGTCTTAATTTGGATAAATTGGTTAGCTTCTTCTTGGTCCACCCTCGTTCCATCCATAAATATTGGCTAGCTAAAATAGCTGAGTCTGATGGAAGAGTTTCCTATACTGGAGAGGAAGAGTTAAGCCTTAGTAGAAGTGACTAGACTCATGCTTCATGAGTATACCCTTTCCACATACTTTTGGGCTGAGAAAGTCAACATGGCTTGCTATACAGCAAATCCTGTAACCACGGAAATAATTCTTAAGAAGACTCCTCATAAACTAGGGAAAGATCACAAACCACACATTGTACTTAGAAAACTTTTAGATGTAAGTATTATGTTTCAAATAGCATTGAAGATACTTTCGGAAACTTTGTTAAGTATTTTTCTCTACTATTCTTCAACTGATTAAATCTCTCATTTTTTCATGTTTTTAACAATAGAATGTCTTTTGTTAAAAAATTGATTCATGTTGACTTTGCGAAAATAATCATTTTTCTCCTTGAGATTTAAATGAAGATATTGAAGGTAGAATGAAGAATGTATTATTTAAGATAAGTGATATGTTGAAAGTGGATTCCCTCAACATGACCAGCAAGCTACCGATTAGTTTGAGAGTGACCCAAATCTTCCAATGGACATAAAAGAAGTTTTATCCACCTTAACATATTCTCAATGATCCATAGCAAAGAGTAAGAGCTCGAAGCCTCGAACTTTAGTCCGAGAATAGACAACCCATTCCCCGATCATTTCTCAAATTAAACTTAAAAACATTAAATATGCGAGAAAAATGATTTTTGGATGCATGTCATGCATGATGAGCTTTATCAATTTGAATAAAATAATATTTGGGAGCTACTCCCTAGAACTATTGATCATCCAATCATGTCACAAGATGGGAGTTCTGAAACAGGCTAAGGAATCGTCTGGTTGCAAGTATTTAGAAATCCAATGTATTCAAAATACAATAAAAAGTTAAATCATATAATCCGAATACTTTGTGGTGTTTGGTTGCTTATAGAAGAAGTTTATGAGTTTATTTTGTTGTGTTTGTTTAATAGCAAATTAAAACCAATATTTTAAATAAAGCACTAGTCGCTAACAATGGCATCGGGTGGTGTTGGCTGGCGGATAGTGGTGCCAAGAACGGGAAGCACTGACAGGTAGTGGCCAATGATAGGCGGGGTGGTAGGCAGCGGTCGTAGCCGATGGCGGCGATCTACAACATCTATGACAAGCAACAGCCAACAGTTGGTGATCACAAACAACAACCAAAGCTTCATAAATGCGATATATTTAGGATTCTTTCAAATTGGATGATTTCAAAAACATTCCTAATGAAAGAGGCAGAAAATTACAAATACCTTAAAAAATTAAGTTGCATTTGCTTTTCTTCCAACCTAAATTTGATTTACTTTATAGTATTAATACTTGCAACCACACAAACCCTAAATGATTTTGGGGTTATCATTAGTAATAAGACTAGACTTGTTGCACAAGAGGTCTAGCAAGTTAAAGGCACGACCATAAAAAAACAGTTTCTCTCATGGCTCACATGGAAGCCATCATGTTTTTTGTGTATGAAGAAACATTTTTAAGCCAAAAACAAGACATATTATCATTCATAAAAAAAATAACAATGCAAAGTCATAGAAAAGTATTGTTAGATGAAAAGAAGAGCTTGCGACAATACATGAAAAGGGCCAAAAGGAAAGTCCCTAAGTGCTTTTAAAAATCCTAAAAATGAGCCTAGAATATTTTCAAGAGTGACAATAAGTTTCTTCTTATTCATTTCACACCAAACATGTAGAATTTAAAACTTCTTTACCACCAACTCCTCTGTGCATGAAATGCTAACATCAGAGATAACAAAAAGAGCCGGGACCTAACTCCCCAGCATTAATGAGAAAATTAGCAACAATAACTCAAAAGGGGATAGGATCACTAATCATAAGTAGGCTGGGGGAAAGGCAAGCAACCAGGAAAGGCTCTAATGCACAAACATGATCCAAAGTTGACTCCAAGTTTTAAGTAGAAGCCAACTCAAAAGAGCATTAGGAGATAAAAATTTATCAGAAGAAAGTTCTTCAATGAACACTAATTCAATTTTCACAACTCTGAGTGTGCTCTGAAGAATTTTGAGAAGTTATGATCAAATATTTTACAAAAGAGTAAAGGAGAAGATGCCTTCAAACTCCACCTATTGCTAATAGGCATGGGATGTAGAGCCAATCTAGATATCTTTCTCAAGAGGAGAAGAGACATCTAATTCAACAATAATCCTAGCCACTGCTAGCCTAGCAAGCCAATCAGTACCAAAATCCACATGGAGTGGTTTGACAAAATTTGAGACAAGTGAATACAAAATGGATATTAAATAAATGAATATGGATCTGCAGGAAAACATTCCAAACAAGAGTAATCAGGTGTTCCTCAGCATAATCAACTTGGGGTAACCATCTGAGCATATGCATTAGAAACTCATTTATATAATATGTTCTCTGAGAGAATAGTCGTCAGTTATCAAATTCTTGGGAAAGCTTAAGAATACGATGAGAATCAATAAGTCAGATAATACAAGCTATAGCCAAATGTAGATCGCCACGAAACTGCAAAGAAGCTCCACTCTTGGATGACCCCATAAAAACATACCAACCCAAGAGAGCGAAAAAAATGAAGCCAACGCAGAGATCTTCTCATTAGATAGAAGGAGCGCATGTTTGTCTTAAAAGAAGGAAGACAAGTTCGAAGGAGTGGAAGTATGTTCTTAAAATGAAGGGAGAAGCGATCATGATTCCATAGAGGACCTTGACTCTTATGTGGGCTCTGAAAATTTGTGCACAGGCCTCTTAGCACCTCTTTTTGTCGATGAGAAAAGTTTTAACGAGTTTAGGTTTCGGGTAAATTTTCAGAAGGTAGACTAAATTTTTAAATAAGACACTACCTAGAGGTTTCGCCCTCATTTTGAGAGGACTTTATGATCTGAGGTTTGGTTTCCTATAAGCACAATCCCCTATGGTTAATTAATCCTCCCAATAATGAGGACTTCCGATTAAGGTTAGTCATTAGATAGGCACCAAGTACCCATCATATAGTAACAGCAATTTCCAAAGTTTAGAATTTTAATTTTTATGGTTTTTTAGAATTTGAGATTTATCGTTATATATTTAAAGCAAGTGATAGGGGAAGATGACGAGCTCGATCAAAATCCCATTGTTTCGTTGTCTCGGGCTGTCATGGTCCATAGTCTACTTAGTCAGAGGAGGTAGTTGACTCGACCTGACCGAACGAAGGATCTTTGTCAACAATCATGGGTTGCGTCGTCCAAGAGTACCTTATAGACTTGAGTTGAATGTTTATCTAAGAGGATGAATTCAAGTTAGCCTTAGCTAACAAGAAACTTTATGCCCTATTAAGTATATTCTATGATTCATAACTCAAGGATTTTGAGTCATTAGGAACCACACTAGATTTAACTGTGATTGTAATTTAATGAAATTATTTTGTGGCAAAACCGCTCAGTCAGAGGGCGGCACACGCCACGTTCTTGCTTGCAAGAGAAGGTTTGAAAATAAATCTTAGTGATATTCTCGATTGGATGTTCGTTCTTTGTAAGCTGAAGTAATTTCTATATTTATCCACCTCAACAAATTGTTGCGAAAGGTGGATGAATATTTGCTTTAAATATATAGATGATTAATTTCATCTTTAAATATTTAAATCTTGTGGAACATCGTATTTATAATTTTATTATGATTTGAGCCCTTAAGTAATTAATTTTATGATTTGAGACATTTGAAAGGTAAAGAATCGTCCGATTGATATTCACATTCAAGGCGGTCATCATCAAGATTTATGGGTAATTTCATTTCATTAGTCGAACATTGTCAACTCTATCTGCTTGCTAACAAAGGATCGAGTTCGACAACTAATTTTTAGGGTTTTCGTATAGGTAGCAGGATCGAGAGTCCGTATTTTAATATGTGAATTTTCTTTATAAAAGATCTTTAAGGCCTAATGCGAACTTATAAAATTAAATATTTTTGTTGACTCACAGAGTACCAGCTTTGAGAGTTATTATTTTGGTAGTGAATTTTCTTATAAGAGGCCTTAAAGGCCTAATATGAATGTATAAAATCAAATATTTTGGTTAATTCAACGAGCGCCAGTCCATCAAATTTGTGTTTTTAATGAGTGGACATTTCTTATAAAAGGCTTGAAGGCCTATTGTGAACACATAAAATCAAATACTCTGGTCAACAATATGATCGTGTATTCGTTCGACGATTCAAATCGTGTCAATTCTGGTCCATTCAAAGAGAACGATCATATTTGAATTTTTTAACCAGCAC